ACCACTCAAAGCGCTTTACACTAGAGCCACATTCACCCAATCGCACTCACCAACGCTCACACATTCATACACCGATACGCAGATCGGTAGGCAACTTGAGGTTAAGTGCCTTGCCCAGAGGCACATCGACATATGGCAGGAGGAAGCTGGAATTGAACCACAACCACAACCTTCTGATTGCAAGACGACTACTCTTCCTACTGAGCCACCGTCGCCCTGCCCAGTGAAAACATTGACACAGTGCGAGGCTCTAAAAGGATTTCAAACACACGTCTTGGAATGAATAAAGCATGAGGTTCGGAAATCCCCTGAACCCTATGGAAGGTTTACAGCCAGTGCTTAAAAGGCAGGGTTTCAGCCCAGACCTTCAATTATCCAGTCAGAATTATACCAGAAGCTTGGTGGTGGCTATAAAAACCATTGTTTGTCTCCAAGTTGCTGAGGGTCAGAGTGTATGTATATATATGTATATATATATATTCAAGCCTGTATGTACAATTGTTTTATCTGTTTGGATAGATAAAATCCACAAGAAATGCAGACATTTGCACCAAATTGTTATTTTTGGAAAACACTGAAGTTTTTTTTGTTGTAGATCATGTCACCAACGCCAGAAAACCCAAAAAAAAACAAAGGGTTGAAATGCATCATTAAAAGCCCAACATTAATGGGATTTATGCTGACGATGAGCTTAAAAGGGGACATATCATGCTTTTAAATCATTCAGTTGTGGTCTATATAAAGTAGAACTTTGATGCTTAGGTCTGAATTCCTTGTTATTGTAGCTCCACAGGCCCCTCTTTTACCCCGATCTGAGGTGCATCTGAGAGCAACTCCTTTTGATGCGGTCTCTTGCTGTTGAGGCACTTCATACCCCGACCCCCTCCAGGTCGGAGAGCATTCCACTCCACCCCGTTCGGTCATTTTTGTACTTTGATAACACAAATATAATTATCTATCAGCGCGGAAACATTTTATTCCTAAATTAAAAGATGTCAACAATGGAAGACTTGTCCATCCAGCCTAACATGTTTGAGCCAGAGTCTGACTCGGACCGAGAGAAGAATGAAGACGACCAATCTGCAGATCCGCCTTCAAATGAATGCATCGCAATGGTGTGTTACTGTTATCACACCCTCTACGTCCATACCAACTAAATATTGTAACGTAACTGTTCAAAAAACGTAATAGAGAATAGAGAGAACTGAACGGATTGAAAAATATGACCCAAACAGAATATAAATGTATCTATGCAGCACTTTGAAAAGACTAAATTGAACTTTTCAGCACTCCTACAGATTCCAAGTACACAGCATGTATTTAAGGGTTAAAAAACAATAACGTGTATTTTGCATGATATTTCCCCTTTAAGCAGCCTCAGACCAGCACTGTACACATACAAGGTTTAACAGAACGAAACAAAAGTCACATCTGATGTTTCTGAGACCTAAGCCATTTAGAAACACTCTGCTGACCCTTTTATAGTTGCAACTCATGCCTTTACAAAATCAGTCTGACAAGTAAAAATGCAGTGACTTTAAGCTTCTTGCAGACTCACTTTTAAAACCTCTATCTTTTTCCTCCTGAGATCTGCCTCCTCACTCGACTCCTGGCTATCAGAGCCGTCGCTGTCATACTGAAACACACCGAAAACAGACAGGGTGAAAAAATATCAGAAAACAGAAGAAAAATCTCATTGGAACCACTTTCCAGACCCCAAGAGTGTACCTTCTCTCCTCTCAGTCGGGCTTTGATCTGTTGACGCTCATTGAAGTTCTGCAAGCGGATCTGCCGGAGTCTTGCCAAGTACTCCTGGGAACAAATAAATCCTTCATGAACAGTGAGAAAAATGTAATCTCCAACCTTGTTTTTGTATTAGCTTTTCTCTTCATAAATGCAAACACAAATTCTCAATCACACATGCATGGCAGCATTGTGAGCACATCATTAGAACAGCAAAAAAGACAGACTGAATTAACATAAAATACCAACAAGTAAAACAAAACAAATGTGCAAACGCCATGCCATGAAGAGGTCAAACATGGATGGTGAGGAGCAAACATTACACAAGGAGGGAGCATGGTTGTAAACTGCTGGGTGGACTTATGGCTGTGTCACAACAGGTTTTGTGCAGACAAGCCAGGCTTGTTGTGAGTAGGGTGGAGTATCAGGCTGGGCATTATGGTCTGGACTCCTACCTCCTCCTCTCTGTTGACTTTAGGTCGCCTGCACCGAGCCGCACCGGCCCGGCTTCCATAGATTGCAGCCAGGTTTTGTCGAGTACCCTGTTTAGCATTAAAGTTAGCCATACTTTAGAAGCATGCATACCCCAACGTCTGACTACAGCAACATCCATCAGTTGGGATCGTGAAGGTAAAGCTTCATAGACCAATGTTCCGTTTAAAGGGAAAACAAAGTTAGGAAAACTGTGATTCTACCACAATGCACCACGAAGCCTCTGATAGATGAGACCAGGACTTTCAAACTATGCAAGAGGCAAGGTAATCAAAGAGGTAATGGAGCCCCAATGTAACCCTGACAAAGCTACACAGCATTGTGTTTGTAGAATCAATTCAAGCTGCTTATTTCAAATCTGGGCCCGAATTCACAAGGATTTTCCTGTCAGAGAGCTCCTAACTTAGCCTAAAAATACCTGATAAAGAATTTGTGTTCTCTGCTGAGAGCGACTCTGAGCGAGGAGACGACAGAGATTCCTATCTTAGTGAGTTTTCAAAAATTTGAAAACATGCCACACATTTGTCTTCCCTCTGATAGCCCTAAATAAAGTGCAACCAGCTGTGTTCAGAAGTCAGCTGATTAATGGAGTCCATCTGTGTGTAATTTAATCTCAGGCCTCA